GTGTTCAAGACGTCCGTGTCAATACGTTGCGTGTTGGCTCCACGTATTGGACCACGTTTTGGCGAATGTATCGCGTCGGACCTACGTTTTCAGCCTTCGTGTTGAGCTCCGTATAGATACGGTACGTGTTGCGTGCTGCGCATCGGGGCAGCTTCCCGCTTGCCCGAACGGTGTCCCTGGTGGTTGTGATATATGTTCCCCCCATCTTGTCCCATCACAGGGTGAAGGTTACATTTTAATGTGCCGCTCGCCCTGGTGGTGATGATGGTGATGGCGATGATGGTGGTGAGGTTGGCGATGACGACGGTGACGGTGATAAGGACGACGACGACAATAATGATCATAATGCTGATGATGATGCTGATGATGACGCTGATGATGATAATGTGGATGATGATGCTGATGATGACGATGACGACGACGACGACTACGATGATGATGCTGATAATGATGACGATATTGATGATGATGCTGTTGCTGATGATGAGTGTGGTTGTGATGACGATCATGACGATCTTGTTGTTGTTGATGATGATGATGATGGTGGTGGTGGTGGTGGTGGTGGATGTGATGATGATGGTGATGGTGATGACGATGCGGACGATGCTGATAATGATGATGACGCTGATGATGATGACGATGACAATGACGATGATGCTGCTGCTGATGGTGATGACAACGATGATGATGATGCTGATGATGATGATGATGATGGTGATGATGATGATGCTGATGATGATGATGATACTGATTCTGATGATGATGGTGAGGCTGATGATGACAATGTGGTTATGATGATGACAATGCTGCTGATGATAATGATGTCGCTGATGTTTCTGATGATGATTATGGTGCTAATGCTGATGCTGATGGTCATGATGATGATGCTGATGCTGATGGTGTTGATGACGCTGAGGATCATGATGATGCTGATCAGGATGCTGCTGGTCATGATGATGATGGTGTTGATGATGCTGAGGATGTTTGCTGATGGTGTGGATGATGATGCTGATGATGGTGCTGGTGATGATAATGACGATGCTGATGCTGATGATGACGATGCTGATGCTGATGCTGATGCTGATGATGATGATGATGTTGATGCTGGTCATGCTGATGCTGATGCTGAGCATGCTGATGCTGATGATGCTGCTGCTGATGATGATGACGATGATGATGATGACGATGTTGATGATGCTGATGATGATGTTGATGATGGCGATGACGATGACGACGATGAGGATGTTGATGTTGACGATGGTGTTGATGGTGTTGATGATGATGATGCTGATGATGATGATGATGATGATGATGATTCTGATGATGATGATGATGATGATGATGATGATGATGATGAAGATGATGAAGATGATGATGATGATGATGATGATGATGATGATGATGATGATGATGATGATGATGATGATGATGATGATGATGATGATGACGATGGTGTTGAAGTCGATGAGAAGGAGGACGCCTCCGACGGACCCAGCATTTTCCCAAGGGTCCAACCTCCTATCGAGTCCGACGTTTTCCCAGGGATGCAGCCTTGCATCGAGTCTCCCTAGGGATCTAGTCTCCTATCAAGCATACCTGACTCTTACGTTTTCCCAGGGTTTCAGCCTCCTATCGAGTTCTACGTTTTCCAAAGGATCCAGCCTCTTACTGAGTCTCCCTGGGGCTCCTACGTTGTCCCAGGGACCCAGCCTCCTATCGAGTCCCACGTTTTTCCCTTGATTCAGTCTCCTATCGAGTCCCACGTTTTCCCAGGGATTCAGCCTCCTATCGAGTCATTCGTTTTCCCAGTGATTCGTTTTCCTCTTGAGTCCCATTTTTTCCAAGGGATCCAGCCTCCCATCGAGTTTCCCTGGGGCTCCTACATTTTCCCAGGGTTTCAGCCTCCTATCGAGTCTCCCTGTGGTTACTGTGTTTTCTCAGGGGTCCAGCCTCTTACCGAGTCTCCCTGGGGCTCCTACGTTGTCCCAGGGATCCAGCCTCCCATCGAGTTTCCCTGGGACTCTTACGTTGTCCCAGAGATCCAGCCTTCTATCGAGCCACCCTTGGGCTCTTACGGAATCCTGCAGTGAACAAGCGTGCTCGGACCAGCAAGGCGAGTGCGTCCAGTCGCTCGGCCAAACCGTCAGCCAGTGAAGGGTCCCACCTGGCCAGCGAAGGGTCCCACCTGGGCGGTGAATAATTTGTTTCTCCCTTCTCTTTCTTATGCCTCTCCTCCTCGGTGGACGTTGCCGGGGGTGCCGTGTACATTAACAACAAGAATCTAGCGACGCTGCCCAAGAGCTTCAGGAAGCGCCTGGGCGTGATGCCGCAGGACAGTTGGTTGTTCACAGGCACCGTGCGGTCCAACCTGGACATGGGGAACGAGCACACCGACGAGGACCGAAGCAGAACAAGAAGCGGCATAAACATAGATTTGCGCACCTCTAGCAGTTTATGTTTATTCAGTTTTTTCTTCTCCAGAGGAGCTCTGGAAGGTGATCAGTCAGGCCAAGCTCGACAACGTGGCGAAGGGCTGGTGGCTGGGCTTGGACCATGAGGTGCGCGCGAAATCTGAACAACATTAGTTTTTTCTCGCTGGCCCACCAGTCGGCCGAACATTCCCCAAAGACGCCCCAAGAGGCCTCCAAGAGCATCTCCAAGAGGGCCCCAGGAGGCAAACAAACATGGAATACCCAACGATTTGGCCTTCTCGCCTCGTCGGCTTCCCGACGCTCCAAGACGGCCCAAGAGGCCTCCGAGATCGCTCAAAGATTGCCCAAGAGGCCTCCAAGAGGGCCACAAGACGGCCTCGGAGAGCGCCAAGACGGCCCAAGATGCCCCCAAGACGGCCTAGGAGGCTTCCAAGACGGCCCCAAGGGGGGGCCCAGAGTGGGCATCCCAACGGACATTTCGAGCCTCTGGCCCCAAGATGGCTCCAAGAGCATCCCAGAGGCCCACGAGGCGCCCCCAAGAGGCCCCGAGATGCCCCCAAGAGCTCGAGGCCCCCGGGCGGCTCGAAGAGGCTCCCAAGAGGCCCCCAAGATGCCTCCACGAGACCCCCAAAAGGAGTCCCAACATACCCTGGTATGCATTCAATACGTCTTAAGCCCAGAACTCAGGTACGGTGGCGGGATGGGCCGACGGCCATTCGATCCGCCGCCCCCTGTTGCTTGCAACAGGGGTGCCTGGCGTGCCGAACAATATGGCGTTTTTTGTTGTTGTGTTTTTTTGGGGTGTGTTTTTTCTATTCTAAAAGAACTCCCCCTGGGGCTTCGGCCCGTCCCGCCGGCCACCTGGAAAGGATCTCATAACGCGTCCGTCGTGCCTCTGTTTCCTCCAGTTGGCCCAAGATGGCGTCCAAGACGGCCAAGATGGCCCATGATGGTCTCCAAGACGTCTCCAAGACGGCCCAAGATGGCCTCCAAGACGGTTAAGATGGCCCCAAGATGCCTCCAAGACGGCCCAAGATGGCCTCAAGATGGTCGACGACGGCCCAACAGGCCCGCAAGAGGCCTCCAAGACGGCCCAAGAGCCCTCCAAGACGTCCTCCAGGAAGGCCCGAAAAGGGCCAAAACCATTGATTTTCCTTAGTTTGTTGAAGGATTTTGGCATTTGCGCCTTTTCGGCTTTCCGACGGCCCAGGACGGCCCAAGAGGGCCCCAAGATCGCCCAAGAGGCTCCCAAAAGGGCCCCATGACGGCCCAAGTGGCCTCCAAGACGGCCCCAAGAGGGCCCCAAGACTGCCCAAGAGGCCTCCAACACGCCCAAGAGAACCTTCAAGACTTCCAAGATGGCCTCCAAGACGGCCCCGAAGCGCTCCAAGAGGGCCCCAAGTCGGCCCGGAAAGGCCCCCAAGACGGCTCCCGACGGCGTCAGACGTGCCAGGAACCCACCAAGATGGCCGAAGTTGGCTCGAAGCTGGCCCAAGAAGGCCCAAGAGGCCCCCAAGAGGGCCTCCAGGAAGGCCAGAAGAGGCCCAAGACATGGATTTTTCCAAGGTTTTTGACGGATTTTGACATTTGCTTTTTTCGGCCTTCCGACAGCCCGAGACGGCCCAAGAGCCCCCGAAGATCGCCGAAAGATCGCCCAAGAGACCTCCAAGATGGCCCCAGAACGGCCCAAGAGGGCCCAAGACGGCCTCAAGAGGCCCCCAAGACGGCACAGGAGGCTTTATAAGACGCCCAAGATGGGCCTCCAAGACGGCCCTGGAGCATTCCAAGAGGGCCCCAAGGCGGCCCATAGAGGCCCCCCAAACGGCATCCGACGGCGTCAGACGGACCAGGAGCCCACCACGACGGCCGAACATGGCCCGAAAATGGCCCAAGACGGCCCAAGAGGCCTCCAAGATGGCCTCCAGGAAGGCCCGAAAAAGGACAAAATCATTCATTTCCCATGGGGTTTTGAAGGATTGTGGCATTTGTTTGTTCTTCCCTCCGACAGCCCGAGACGGCCCAAGTGCCCCCAAAGATCGCCCAAGAGGCCCAAGACACTGCCCCAAGGGGCCCCCAACACGGCCCTCAAGACGCTCAAGATGGCCTCCAAGACGGCCCAAGAGCCCTCCAGGACGTTCTCCAAGAAGGCCCGAAAGGGTCAAAATGGCCTCCAGACGGCCAATATGACCTTCAAGATGCCCACGTGTTCCCCGAAGGCTTTCCAAACCGATTCGGGGAACACGTGGTCCGATAGCTTGGCAGGTCTGGCCTCAACGTCCGGCCACATAGGCGCTTCCAAAAAGGCAGGGGGCGGCGGTGATTCGCCGTACGCGTCTTCGATCCGCCGCCCCCTGTGGTCTTGCTTCAGGGGTGCGTTCTAACCATCCTGTGTTGAGTTGGGTCCTCGTTTTGAAGAGACAGTCCCTGCGTCTCCTCCTCTCCTCCTCTCCTCCTCCTGCCCTCCTCCTCTCCTTCCTCCTATCTCCCGTCGTCCCCCTCACTTTGGCACACCCCTCACACGCTTCGTGGCCCCATAAGGGGGCTCCATCGAAGGCACCACTGGCTGCGTTCGCATGCCGCCACACTTTGGCACACCCCTCACACGTTCCGTGGCCCCATGGGGAGCTCCACCGACGGCCCCAGTGGCAAGGCTCGCATGCCGCCCCCCTCCACTTTGGCACACCCATCACACGTTTCGTGGCCCCATAGGGGGCTCCACCGACGGTCCCAGTGGCATGATTCGTATGCCGCATCGCCTCCACTTTGGCACCATCCTCACGCGTTTCGTGTCCCCATAAGGGGGCTCCATCGAAGGCATCAGTGGCTGCGTTCGCATGCCGCCACCCCTCACTCTGGCACGCCGCTCCCACGTTTCGTGGCCCAATCGGGAGCTCCACCGACGGCCCCAGTGGCATGTTCCGCATGCCGCATCCCCTCACTTTGGCACACCTCTCACACGTTCCGTGGCCCCATGGGGAGCTCCAGCGAAGGCTCCAGTGGCATGATTCGCATGCCGCTCCCTCCCTCCATTTTGGCACATCTCTCGCACGTTTCGTTGCACTGTGAAGGGCTCCACCGAAGGCCCCAGTGGCTGCGTTCGCATGCCGCCTCCGCGTCCATTTTGGCACACCTCACACGTTTCGTGGCCCCATAAGGAGCTCCACCGAAGGCCTAAGTGGCATGCCGCCCTCCCTCCGCCCCCGTTGGCACACCCCTCGCACGTTTCGCGGCCCCAGAGGGTGCTCCACGGAAGGCCCCAATGGCATGGTTCGCATGCCGCCCCCTCCATTTTGGCATACCCTTTGGGAGCTACAATGAAGGCCCCATTGACATGATTCGCATGCCGCCCCCCTCCACTTTGGCACACCGCTCCCACGTTTCGTGGCCCCATAGAGAGCTCCACCGAAGGCCCCAGTGGCGGTGCCCGCATGCGTTTCCACCACGCAGTGCAGCGTTTCGTGGCCCCATATGGGGAGCTCCACCGAAGGTCACAGTGGTGGTGTTCGCATGCGTTTCCCATGCCCAGGAGAGCGTTTCGTGGCCCCACAGGGAGCTCCACCGCAGACCCCAGACGAGGTGTCCGCGTGCGTTTCCCCCAGCCAGTACAGCGTTTCGTGGCCCCATAGGGAGCTCCACCGAAGGCCCCAGTGGCAGTGCCCGCATGCATGGCCCCATCGGGAGCTTCATCGAAGGCCCCAGTGGCTGTGTTCGCATGTGCTTCCCCCGCCCAGTATACCGTTTCGTGGTCCCATAGGGAGCTCTACCGAAGGCCTCCTAGTTGCATGCGTTTCCCCTACCCAGTACAGCGCTTCTTGGCCTCATATGGGGGCTCCACCGAAGGCCCTACTGGCTGCGGCCGCATGCGTTTCCCCACCCAGCACAGCGTTTCGTGGCCCCACAGGGAGCTCCAGCGAAGGTCACAGTGGCGGTGTCCGCATGCGTTTCCCCCTCCCAGTGCAGCGTTTCGTGGCCCCATGGGCAGCTCCATCGAAGGCTCAGTGGCTGAGTCCGCATGCGTTTCCCCTACCCAGTACAGCGTTTCGTGGCTCCATAGGGAGCTCCAGCGAAGGCTCCAGTGGCGGTATTCGCATGCGTTCGTGGCTCCATAATGGAGCTCCACCGAAGGCCTCAGTCGCTGTGTTCGCATGCGTTTCCCCCACCTAGTACAGCGTTTCGTGGCCCGATAGGGGGCTCCACCGAAGGCCGCAGTGGCAGTGTCCGCATGCGTTTCCCTCACCCAGTACAGCGCTTCGTGGCCCCATAGGGAGCTCCACAGAAGGCCTCCTAGTGGCAGTGTCCGCATGCGCTTCCCCTACTCAATACAGCGTTTTCGTGGCCCCATAGGGAGCTTCACCGAAGGCCTCAGTGGCGACGTTCGCCTGGCGGACCCGCTCCATTTCGTGGCTCCACATGGAGCGCCGCCGAAGACCCCAATGGCTGCGCCCGTATGCGTCCCCGCCCCATTTCGGCACACCCTTTACACGCTTCGTTGCCCCATAAAGAGATCCACCGAAGGCGATACCTACAACGGCGATACCTACAACTGCATATGGTCGGGCCTTTCGCCAGGATAGTTCCCAACAAAATCCCCGTGAGGTCTCGGCGGAGTCCGCCGGTCACAAGCTCACCCAAGTCCCACCACCGTTGGTCAAGTCGCCCCCAACACAGCTAAGATGGCCCCAAATGGCATTCGAGATGGTCCCAGGACAGCTACAATGGCCGCAAGAAGGCCCAAGATAGTCCAAAGATGGCTACCAATACGGTACTAAGATGCTTCCAAGACCACGAAGATGATCCCAGAGAGCCCAAGACGGCCCAAGAGGCCCCTAAGACGGCCCAAGAGGCCTCCAACAGGTCCTCCAGGATTGCCCGAAGATGCCCAAACCATTGATTTTCTCGTGGCTTGTGTCCCAACCGTCCTGTGGTGCCGGGTCCTCGTTTCGAAGAGACAGTCCCCGCGTCTCCTCCTCTTTCCCTCTCCTCCCCTCCTCCCTCTTCCCGTCACCCCCCTCACTTTGGCACACCTCTCACACGTTCCGTGGCCGCACAGGGAGCTCCACCGAAGGCTCCAGTGGCATGGTTCGCATGCCGCCCCCCCTCCACTTTGACACACGCCTCACACGTTC